ACATCGCCATCATTTACCATGGATTTACTGTAGTAACACTCACTGCACCATGGTATTGTGGCAGAAATTTTGGATATTCACACTGAGTTTTATTACAGGAGTAATGGTATATAATTATAGTATGTATTTGTGATTAAGCTATAGCATGTGTGCATTTATACTGAATGTTTTTAGACTACTGTTTTTCATACAGGCTACCTAAAAACCATATTGTTATATTTTTACCATGGTATTGAGGTGCTATATGTGTGGTTTTAACTGTGATTATCATGATATAAATGTATGCTACTATGGGAGACCAATGCTTAATTGAAAAAAAAAAAAGGTTGCTACAATTTTTACCGATGTTACTGATTTTGATAATGAACAAAAATTTATCTCTGCATCCTAACTCAAGCTACTATCAAATGTGCATTTCTAAGAGACAAAAAAAGTGATATTATTATTATTAATATTATCAGGCAACCCAAACCCGTTTCTTGATTTGAAACAATACCACTCATTAGAACATGCAGAAACTAAGAAATAATTTTTTCTATTTAGATATTTATTTTAAGGAAAATTAATGGTCTGGTTTCTACAACTTTCACTTTGGTGCAAAAATCTGGCTTTAAACTTGAAAGAAATAAAGATTTGACATTTATCGTGATAATTATCGATATCGACGGATATGGGAAAAAATATCGTGATAATTTTTTTGGCCATATCGCCCAGCCCTACTTCCAACTTGTCTCGCAGAAAAAATAAATAAATAAAAACAGCAGGTCAGAGTGCTGATAACTATAATCTGCAGGCAGTGCAAAAATTTGACTTTTAAGTGTTTTTCATTGAGTTTATCAGAAACTTATCATATAACACCAAGGCTTGCCATTTTCTTCTTACAAAAAAAGTTCTTAAAATATTTGTGAACTTTAAAAAAAAAACTGCACTTAGAATCATTCTTACTATTTCTAATTAGAATTTATATCAAGAAATGCCTTAACTTCTGCCCATTTTGACCCAGAGAGGATTTTATTTTCCCCCGAAAATGCTAATTAATGTTATCGCATTGGACTAAAACTTCCTGCCTTTGCTAACTACCCAGCCCCAACATTTGATCATGTTTGTACTTTTTTCCCCTCCTTGTTACATTTGTGGTGTTCCCGGGTAAAAATGACCAGCCTACAAAAAAAAATCCTTATAGATTTCTTGTAATGTTGTATTATTACCAAATATTGGATTCAATCTTTTTTTTTTTATCAACTTGTTTTATTTCAATTAACACAGGTATTTCTTTATGGATCTGACTGATTGTGTAGGCCTCACTGGGCCTCTGAGTTTAAGCAGCTCAGTTTTTAGTAAAAATTGCCAAAATTATCCACATATTATGCCTTTTTCACTCCAAAACTAAGCTCAGACAATGATAATATAGAATAATGAGAGATTTACAAGCAATTTGTAAAAGGCTGGTCATTTTTGACCGGAAACACCAAACTAGGTAAAGGATTTTCAGCACAATCACAAGGGTTAAGAAGATTTGCGTAAATCCGGCCCCTGGTCCCTAAATATGGCTTGCATGCAAGTTTATCATCCACCATGTGAAAAATCGCAATTCTAATTTTTAGAATTGATTTAAGGTCTGTAGCACAAACTATCACAGTTTTTGAACACACCCCTAATTCTAAATGTGAGCAATAGTACTACACTCTAAAAAATGCTGGGTTATTTCAACCCAACTTTGGGTCAAATTTGGACTAACCCAACTTTTGGGTTAAAAATTTAATGTAAAAATTTAACCCAACAGTTGGGTTAGTCCATATTTGACCCAAAGTTGGGTTGAAACAACCCAGCATTTTTTAGAGTGTAGTGATGCTCGCTTTAGCACAGAGCACTTATTATACGCACTTAGTGGGAGGCATTCCAAAGTGTGCCTTCAAATGAGCAAAAGCACATTACAACACCTCAATGGCACTCAACGATGTCTGTGCATCTGCTAGACAAACTTTCAGCGTCTCCAAACACACAATGACAGCATTCTTGACTCGACCGCAAACATGATACAAAGCTACCTTGTAATTTTCTCTCCTGCTGGCACAAGCCCATTCAATATGCTTTCTCTCTCCCTGACACCAGCATGCACACACACAAAAAAAAGGGCAGAAAACACGCATAAACTGAGGCTTTGCGCCCTTTTATGAGGCTGCACAGCCTGAGGAGGTTGATCGAAAGGAAGTGCATGTACACACATGCGTGCACACACACACACACACACACACAAACAAAAGAAACATGCTACTCTGAGCATTTAAGGCTCCTTCGACCATATCACGCAGTCACATCGCGACACACTGTTCCCCTATGTAGGGGTGGGAGTTGAGGGGCCAGCGAGTGTGGGAACAGGGGGATTCTTACAGCCTGAGACGAACGCATGATGCAACAGAATCCCCTGTTCTATATATGAATATATGCACATTTTGGCAACAGCGTTTCTCTGTACTCGGCTGTACATTCAAAAGATCTAAGAAGGTGAAGTTCATATCCACACAGTATAGAGATACACACAAAAGTGAAACTGCACTGATGCATGTTATAAATATCACACACAGGGTCCAAATTTAACATTCGCCAAATGAGTCCAAATGAGAGTATCTTTAAATAATAACCATTAGAAAATACAACGAATGGTTTATTTTTTGTTTATCTGCTGCTTGATGCAAAAAAATATATATTTTTAAGGAAGCTAAATGGCTCCGTTGTCAAAAGGACACAAATAAATGCAAAATTCAGTTTTGTGGGCTGTTAGAAATATTTTCTGCAATTTACTTTTTTTTCCATTTACAGGCCAGGTGTGGCAAAAAGTACATTTTGGACCCTGATCAGACCAATAAAATGTACTAAATATAAAAAAAAAAAAACACACAAACACATATTTACATTTTGCACCAAAATTAGTCTGAAAGACCTCGGTCGCACTTTCTCGGCCTATTTTACACAACTTCTGGTGGTAACAGCACACTGGATTTGTTGTCAGGTTTACAAGGTAAAACTAATCAATGTATCTGCCAACGTTTGTTTTGTTTTAATTATTGTGGTATAATCTAATCTATCAATATCTCAGATAAACCCGCCTCAGACAAAAAGTAGTGGGCCACTTTATACACACTTCCTGTCTAAACAGGCAGTTGCAGAATAAGCTGCAATATGGACCAGACTTACACAGTTTAGTCAAAGGTAATGGTTTGGTTAAGTGAGATTTATTTGTTTATTTAGAGGTGGATTATCTGGTCGCGACTCGAGTGATAAATACTAGTGATATGAGATTTTTTTTGTATTGTTTCCTTGACTGAACAGTTAATAGAAGTGATAATTCACAAAAATCTACTAACCTTGTTAATATATAATGCACTATAATATATATATAGGGCTTTTGAATAAATACAGTGTAAAATAAATGTCCAACAAATTATTAGCTTATTTATTATTAAAAAAAACTATTTGATACCATTTCACCACTGCAAGAACATTCATGTTTCCTAATATCTGTTTACAAAAAGAAGTCAAATTTACATTCCAAAGTCAAACAACATTAACTAAGAAGAGCTTACACTCAATAGATGTTACCTAAGTACTTCACAATTTACGATTTGCATTCCAGCTGTGAGGCTGTAACATCTGCCTGACAGAAACATCACAAACTGATCCAGAGACCCAGATGATGAAAGCATCTGTGTGTCTGGTGTTCACGAGCCCATTTCACATGTGCATGCAAATAGGCGTATCTCATATTATTATTCGTAGTAGTAGCAGCAGTATTAATAAAATACATTATAAACCGAAGTTAAAGCAGTCGCTTGATCCAGACAATGAAAAGCACATCTCACCTAAACTTATTTGCATAAACATATACACAAGCCCATTTCACGTCCATGCAAATACGCTTGTCACATTATTATTATTAAAAATATAAACTTGACTACAAGCAGTGTTTCCAGTCGCCTAATCTGTATTTACTGTTTCGCATGAGTATGCAAATGAGCTCGCTTAACATTATTACAATTAATAATAATAATAATAATGATGATATTGATGATAACAATAATAATTAATATGTTGTGTAACAAAAAATTATGTAGCCACCGGCCTTAAATCGATCCCATTAAGAAAGTTCTAAGCGGCCCTGAACGCATGAGCACCTTGTTTCTATTGTAATATATACTTTTAAAAAATGTCATTTATTCCTGAGATGTAAATAATTGAATTTAACTCCAGTCTTCAGTGTCACAAGTGATTGGTGCAGTTTTTTTTTTTTTTTTTTGAATTCTTATAATAATTTTGCCATGCTTTCTTTAATTGCCCATTTGAAGTGACGCAAATTCTAAGAATACGTACGTAATTCACGTATCTGTCGGACGAGCCGATCCCTTTAAACTGTCTTCTGCCCCTCGCGTGCGAGAGTCAAGTTCATTATAACTTGGCAATGCACTTTGGGAGGGAAGACAGCCGCGCATAATTAACCTCAACACTCAATATACGAGTTATACGAAACTGTGAACGCACAAGCCAAACTTTCATAATAATTACTGCAGAAACGAGAGACCCCCGCTCTCGACTCAAACTCTCACGTTCCGTGTTATCTGCACTGACCAAGAGACTTCTGGCCCAAAAGAGTTGGGATTATAAATCACTCACAGTTCATCTTTTGCTGAATCCTACTAAACACATTTACATGCTGCCAGAGAGAGCTGTGATAAATATTAAACATGACTTGCCTGCCAGCCGCGATGTCCGTTACTTTCTCTGTCATGTTGGATGCGCGCAACAACAGCCCTGCGTAAACTTTCAGGAAGGAAAAAAAAGCACACAAAGTTTCCATGGACGCCGCGACAACAAGCGATGAAAATTCCTTGATGTGGCGAGACAGCTGAGCTTCCGGCAAAATAAAAGCCCCGTTTCGTGTTTGAAGCCATCCATGTAGTTTTTGTAACCTTCTTAATTATTATATCTCTAAATGTGATATACGTAACATTTACGTAATATTTAAAAACAGAAAAGCTCTGTTCTGAGAAATATGCAAGAGGTTCTTTATGTATCACCCCCCCCACCTTCTTCTTCTTTGGTGTTTATTGGCGGTTGGCAAACCAACTTGTATGTTCATTACCGCCACCGACTGGACTGGAGTGTGGAACAGAATACGTGCTTATGGGATTGACATAATGCTAGAAGGGAAAAAAGAAAAAAGACAAAAAAAAAAAAGGAGAGGAAGAGAAAAAAAAATAAAAAATAAAAAATAAACCTAAAAAAAAAACACCCCCAAAAAAAGGCATTAATCATATTATTCATAATAAAATAAATAACTAAAAAAAAAAGAAAAAAAAAAAAAGAGAGATTTACATTTTTACAAAATACATTTTTTTATTTTTTTTTATTTTACTTAACTTCGTTTCTTTAATAAACTTAATGATGTAATCATATATAGCCTTTTCCCCTAGAATACCAGTTATAGAGAAGTCTTTGTGATCAACCTTCTTTAATGACTGAATAAAATGGCATCTTTCTTTGTTGTATTTCCTGCAATGAAGCAGTACATGTTCAACTGTTTCTTGCTGACTACAATAAATACATTCCCCAGTTGGGTGCTTGCCAATTTTAAACAATGTACTATTAAGTCGAGTGTGACCTATTCTCAGATGAGTTATAATATTCCCTTCATTTCGGTTCATGCTCTCCCTCCTCCCAGCACCAACTTGTTTTTGTATGCTTTTCATGGCTGTGAAAAGCCTGAAAAGATACTATGGTATACCCTGGTATTTTCTGAAGTGCCTTAGACATTTACTATGCTACTACCACAGTACTCCAGGAAAGGAGTATCTTTGCATCTAAATGTCATGATACACTACCATGTCAAAGAACCACTGTATTAGCCTTTGATATCTGATCACTTTTTTTGTATCTTTAATATGCATGTACAAAAAAGGAAACAATAAGCACCATGGTAGTATCATGTTTTATGGTATTACCAATGGTGTTCTTGGAAACAGCTTCAAGTTTTATGTAAACACCATGAAACAAAAATTTCAATATCATGGTATACGTCAAAATACCATGGTATTACCATCTGATACCGTTCCATGGTACTGTCACAGTAAAAACACAGTGTTACTGAGCCAACCACCGATTAGAGCCTACTGCAAAAGTGTTAGTGATCCAGACAGCAGTTTTAAATCAACGTGCGTTCAAGAATTTAGAAACACTGAAATAACATCCATACACTGCATTTCAAGTGAGCATCAGAAATACAGTCAGATCTGTAGCACACAAGTATGGCTTAACAACAACAACGGTGTTAAAAGCTAATTAAACATTATCAAACTCATTTAAACCCGTAAAGCTGTAAGTCGCTTTGGATAAAAGCGTCTGCTAAATGCATAAATGAAAAAATGTAATAAAAAAATTAATAAAGCACTATCTAACTTTTGGCGCTCTAGCGGTTAATAAACAGAACTGCACACATCCCGCGGAAGAACATTCCAACCGGAGCTACTTCTCTAAGTTTATGTCTATGGCGATTCACGCAGGTATGTGTTACTCCGCAGCGGTGACGACCCGACCAGACTACAATAGTCCAAATATAAGTACTTATTATAAGTGTACCGTAGTGATTCGGAATAAGACAAAAACGCTGTTTGGAAGATGAATTGATGATGTACTCGCTCATTATATACATTTTACAAATTTTGAACACAGAAAAAGTTACATAGTGCTGCTTTAATTATTAACTTATTACCTTAAAATCTCAGGGGGACTTCAAATAAATATATTAGGTGAAGAGATTTGTCTGACAAAAAAAGTTTGGGAATCCCTGCATTACTGAACATGTAAATAAGAAATAATTTGTGCATTAATTAAGGCAAAGCCTTCCAAAGACATAGTAATACATGGTTACATAACCTACTGAGTGATAACTCAAAAATAAATGAATGTGTTAATCAGTAGTTGATGCAATGTTGAAATGTTGAGAAAACACTTCTTAAACCTGAAATGATTTTAGTAAATCCTATGGTCAAATGCTGTGTGGCCTCTCAATTGTCTGTGTAATTGCAGCCACCTGACCAGCGACTGGTCTTTGTGTGAATGTCCACAAAACTGGAAGACTTTCTGAATGTATATAAGTGGTCGGCTATTTTAGAAAGGAACATTTAAAAGATGAAAAAGAAGAATTAGGGAGAATCAATACATTATGAATAATTTATTACCATTGTGTGAATAATATGTAATCATGTAATCAATAAAAAATTAACTGTAGTCTGATTGCGAGTATTTTAAAATGTAATTTAATCTAATTACAAGCACTTAATTTTTGGAATCTGATTACGTAATTTAGATTACATGTAATTAGTTACTACCCAGCTCTGGTAATGGTAACACGGTAATACTATGGTACGTAAATATATTTTATGGTATTTATATAGTACTAGGAAACCATGCATATATCCAAAGCTATAACCATGATATGACAACTTTTTATAAGTAGTTTTATAATACTATGCTTTGAAATATAGTGTGCCACAGCATTTGCAACAATATTTCACAATACCATGACTGTAGCATTGTACATGTTTAAAGAACCATGAGAGTACCATGGTACATGTTTTGCTAGTGGGTAGGTGCAATCCTAGAAGTCTAGGGGCTCAAATATATATTGACTTGACATAAGCATAAGTTGGGTCATTCTTCATTTGCAGTGGGCTGGTGGCAAGTGACATTCCCCACTTTATATGTGAAAAAAAATGTATATGTGTAGAACTAGAAATAGAAAAGGTGTTATAAAATATCAAATGGCTTTGCTCAGATGATTGTAGTCCAAGTAACACTGCTCTGCCAAGGTTGTTTAGGGTTGTACCATGTACCCTTTGTAGACGTTTTTCTAGACATTTGAAGGGTGTCTATGCCAAACTTACAAATTAATACATCAGCTATTCCTTTGGACTTCAGTGACTGAGTCCACAGTCAAACCAAAGTCAAAAATTAATATAATCAATAATAATT